CTAAACCCTAAACCCTAAACCCTAAACCCTAAACCCTAAACCCTAAACCCTAAACCCTAAACCCTCAACCCTAAACCCTCAACCCTAAACCCTAAACTTTAAACCTGGACAGGTTATGCACTGGCCTCAAGTGGAATCCGCTGCAGCGCGGCCGACCGGCCTAGCCGGGACCCCAGCGCGCATGAGGGTTCCATTCGGATTTAGGGTTTAGGGTTTAGGGTTTAGGGTTTAGGGTTTAGGGTTTAGGGTTTAGGGTTTAGGGTTTAGGGTTTAGTTTAGGGTTTGGGGTTTGGGGTTTGGGGTTTAGGGTTTAGGGTTTAGGGTTTAGGGTTTAGAGGTTGGAGGCTCATGAGTTCAGGGTTTAGGGTTCAGCAGCTCCGCATATTCGCGGCCCTGATAGAACACCCACCCACCCAGAGAGTACCATCGCATTGAGACAATGGAAAGTACTGCTCCAGTCATACAACGAAGGGCTACAGCTTCGAGCTGCGCTCGTGGCTCATACCCTGTCGTTTCAGCTGTACCTGTCAAATCTAAGTCAACTCTCAGCTTTAAGGGCCTATGCTTGGAATGAGCGGACACAGAATAAAACACCTAGTTTTGTTAACCTCACTTTCTTGCCGCATCTTTTGGGATAGGTTAGAGGGTTTAGGGTTTAGGGTGAGTTTGGGGCTTCAGGGGTACAAGCCGGGACCGAAGACCATTCAGGTCCTCGCCAACGAGCTTCAGTGGCGGCGAGCGAACATGCTCGCCCACCAGGCGCTGTGGACATCCAAACCCTAAACCCTAAACCCCAAACCCTAAACCCTAAACCCTAAACCCCAAACCCCAAACCCTAAACCCAAGACCTCCCCCTTCTACGAACAGCTCCTTAATAGGGATTTTCGTACTAGGGTTTAGGGTTTAGGGTTCAGGGTTTAGGGTTTCGTACCCCCCAGTGGATTCTTAGTATAAGGGGGGAACAGCCCAAGCAATCAGTCTTCACCTGCGCAGCTCTCTGGTGGAAACAGCGGAGCTCCCGAGCACCACTCGGAGGTTCATGGTGCTTATGAACCAATTCTAAGTGTACTTCGAACGCACTTATAAGCCCCCCTAAGTGCCCTAATATGGTTTAGAAGTACAGTTATGCGTACAGTTGCAATTGGGGAATAAGTAGCCCTAAACCCTAAACCCTCAACCCTAAACCCTAAACCCTAAACCCTAAACCCTAAACCCTAAACCCTAAACCCTAAACCCTAAACCCTAAACCCTAAACCCTAAACCCGCCTAAACCCGCCTAAACCTTAAACCCTAAACCCTAAACCCCTCAATACAGTTATAATTGGTCAATAAGTACCATGAACCTCCAACCAGCCCCATGTGTTCCCGGGTCTTCGCGCTCAGCGGCTTCCAACTGCCACCTCTCTTTTGGGTTGGATTGAGGGACACAAGCTGTTCCCCCCAAAAACCCAAAACCCTAACCCTAAACCCAAAACCCAAAACCCAAAACCCTAAACCCCCAAACCCCTAAACCCTAAACCCGCAACCCCAAACCCTAAACCCTTGTTTCCCCAAGTGTTGTTTGGCACCCGGCGCCGGCCCAGAACCGGGGCAAAGATGGGGATCTGATCATTCGCCTGCTGTCGGGTTCAGTGTTTTAGGGGTCTACACTGGGAGGTTCATGGTACGTCTTAGCCAACTATACTTAAAACCAGATTAGGGCACTTAAGTAAGGGTTTAGGGTGTTTAGGGTTCAGGCTTTAAGGCCAAGGGTCTTGGGAGGTTTGTGGAAAAGCAGTCTTCAAATACCACAACCCCTATTCGCTTAAGAACACCAAAAGAATACAAAATCAAA